TCAAGGGTGGTAGTTTTAACGCTTTAGTCATGCCGGAGAATCCGTGTGATTTCGGTAGGAGAGCGGTGCATGGATCACGGCTTTAGTTTCTTTTGGCCAGCAGGCTTTAGTTTCTTTTGGCCAGCAGGCCAAAGACCCTACCTGTTGTTGCCCAATGGCCAAAGAGTGGACCTGGCCGTTGAGGGCAAGATGCCATACTTGACCCCATCAGGCAAAGAGGCGCTGGGTCAGTGGATGTGCGCGGTTGCCGCCGGAGGGGGTGAATCCCCCGAGCGGTGTTGTTGCGTGGCGCCAGGCGCCAAGGCATTCCTGGACAATGTGGAATCGGCGGGAGACCCTCCGCCCCATGCTGTCCAGATTCGCGTAACCATAGACCTGCGTACACATGAGTTGATTGGTGCCCACAGCTACGCTGATGGGCGGCCGACTGAGATCGCGCCCGCTTTTCCATCTTCAATAGTCTCTGCGGATACCATCACCTACTTCTACTATTCGCTTCGAAAGGCTAGCGAACGCGGTTGGAATCGGACGCCGACCGGTATCGCCGCCTCCAAAAGTCTCTCAACTTTGCCCGACCAAGGTCAAGCCGTCGGTCAGTGCGACGAGCAGCCCGGCAAAGCCGAGGCCTGCGCTGCCACATACAGGTGCCCTTGAGGGCACGGAGTTTCGGGATACCCTCTTTGCGACATAAACCGAGGACTGGACTCCAATGCGTGCAACGCGGCCCCAGGACCCGAGGAGGGCGAAGTTGGAGACGCTGACGGTGTCGACTTAGTCGACGTCGACGCACCGCCAGATGTAGACCCAGACGATGCGGAGGTTGAGGTGTCGGATACCCTTGCCGAGCGGCTCAAAAAGGTCGCAGCATCCTTGCCGCACCTTCTATTTCATACTCCCAAGAACCCATATTGCTCAGTATGCAATTGGGCCACAACTATCAGAAAGCAACATCGCAAGGCGCAAAACAAAGGGCTGAAGGTTCCCCGCCCATGCGCTAACCCCACTTCGTTCGGACACCTGACGACGATGCATCATTGGTTTGCGGTGGGTGAACTCTCGTGGGGGCTCCACGATGAGACCGCGTGTGTGACTTTTCGCGACCGAGCTACGGATTTTCTTGCCGCTCAGGGTGTGCATGACAAGTCTGCGGTTCGCGCTTGTAATTATTTAGTAAACCTAAGCCCCGGAGGAGAAGTTAGAATATTGTTACACAGATGGTGCAAGAGAGCTTGCCAGGGCATGTCACGAGCTCAATATTGCCCATCATCCTATCATCCCAGGAAATAAGAAACATAACGCTGTTGCTAAGCGCGCAAATGGCGTTATGCAGATGGGGGCCAGAGCCTTACTCATGCAGGCTGGTCTTCCACCACCATATTGGACCTACGCGGTCCGATATTTCTGTTTATCCTACAATACTAGGACCCCATCGGAGGGACCGTCAAGTTGGGAGCGGCGCTTTGGACGTAGGTTTGATGCCCCGTTCCTTCCCTTTGGGTCCCTCGTGCGTTATGTGCCTCCACCTGAGTTCAGGTTTCGGACCGCCAAGACTGGCGCAACGATGGTTCCAGGGATATATTTGGGGTATGTGCACAAAGCGGGGGGATTGGTTGGACCAGACAGTTATGTTGCCCCTCTGAGACAATTGGACGGTCTGAACATGGAATCAGGGCGTACCCCAGAGGGAAACCGACCCACCATTGAGAAGTCTGACCAGGTGTACAGCAACATCTTAGATGGTACTGCTGATGACCAGTCGCCTCAAGCCTATGGTAGTCGACGGTAGGGATCCTCAGCGCGATTCCCATCCAGCAGACAAGAACCAAAAACTGGGACTCGCACAATTCGAGTATCGTTTGGACAGACAGTCCAACTTCTCAGAGGCTAAGCCGCGTGAGAAGTTCCCCGGGAAAGGACAACTTCTTGCCCGAACAATTCAAAACCTGGACACGATGAAATATTTCGAGGACAGACGAATCGTTGCTGGACTTACAAAAGAAGAGCTGCGCAGGTGCTTCCATTGACAGGTCGTCAAAAGACATGCAGCATCCGGGTTGTTCTTTACTATGATCCCGATTACGTGCCTATAACTCGAGTGTGTGTAACATACCCAGACCCGAATTACAGTGCCCACTGGCTGAAAAAAACTACCTGAGTCCACCGATCCTGGGATGCATCCTGGACGATGGCTCAACATGATTCAAGCACAACGCCGACAGGCCGTGAAACAAAACAAGGCAGAAAAAAATGGGTTTTTCGGGGTAGAAGATCCTGGCCCTTGCCTAGGCCTTCTGCGTGACATTGGCCTGGATGTGAATGATCCACCGACTCCGCCCGAAGCCACAGTGGCGCAGCCACTTGCGGCCCTTCCTGAGGCCAGGCTAACAGCACCGAAGGTGGCTGAGCGGCTGTGTCGTTTGAAGAGAGACAGCCTGTGCTACACCCCTGGCAGCGGACGTGGGGCGGCGTCGCGACCTACCCAGGGCGGCCAAGCCGCATCTGTGGTCTGTGGCTGATGAATCCTCAGGGGGAGATGATTCTGTAGGACATCTTTCGGAGGAATATTGTGGCCTCTGTTTTGCTCGTCCGAGGCCCTCTTGGAACCATCTTGAGCCGAGAAGAGCAGGACACGCAAGCTATTCAGAAGCCTTGGGGCTTCGTTCAGGAAGTATCGCAATGAGTTTGGCATCAGGCCTTTGGCTCGACGTCTTGGATGGAGGTCTCTTGGGGGCCCCTCGACGCCTCTTGGGGTCAGCCTGGGAGGCTGCCCGGTGCCTCTTGCGGGAACGTCGGGCCGTGCCGGCGGCGGCCTCGGTGGCTCCCTGGGCCGCCTCGGAAGCCTCGGAGAGCCTGGAGGGAGCCCTGCATCGGCGTCGGGCCGACCAGGGAGCTCCGGGAAATGGGGGGGGATAGCACGGAATTGGACGTGACGAGAGGGGGGGGGTCTTGGGAACACGTGCGGAGACACTGCCAGGGAGCACTTGGCATCACGCCTCCACGCGCCAGGAGGGCACCACGGAGGGCACATGCAGATGCGAGGGGTCTTAGGCCGAGACCCAGAAGTGCACCCCTGCTGATCGACGGGTGGCTCTTCCACCCGGCGCCAGTATTTCGGTCCGCCTTTGCCCCGAGAGAGGATGCCAGGGTTCCCATAACCGCCACGGGGATATCAAGATGACCCAACGGCGTCGCCGTCGCTGGAAGCTAAGACGGCAACGGGCGGCCCGAAGAAGACCCCAACCGAGTGTCCAGCAGACATCAGGGGTCCGAACACACTTGATCAATCCGAAGCTTTTATTTGTCTACTCCGGATTCCTTGGTAATCGCCCCCCCCTCCAACCAAGAACCCTCCTTCTTGCCTTTATTTTCTGGACGGAGCGCCTGGATATTCCCGACCCCCCCCAAAAGAATACCAAACAAAACTGCGAGCGCGATCGTTCATGACGGCGACCACGTCGGTGATCACGGTGGCAATTAAGTAAACGGCGTTGCGACCTTGGAGGTTGGACCAGCCTGTTGAGCAACGTGATGGGCGCCAGGGTTATGCATTCCACCCCGCAGCACTTGCGATGCGCAAAGAACCCAAGAGACGATAACGGCTTGACTCCAACACAACAGGCCACAAAGCGCGAGGAACCCCAAATGATCCGAAAACCAATTGGGTTCTGGCGCGGCAGAACCTCATGAAAGGACAACGGCCCTACCCCAGCGCACCATTCTCGCTCTTTCAACAAGAGGACACCTGAACTGAAAGACGGCGTGGGGAGCGAATGACATGGACTGTAACTGAAGTGCAAATCACGACGAAAGCATCAAATTTGAACCCGTGATGTTGGCGATTGCGACGACGACGACGATGACGACGACCCGTGATGCTGTCGATGATAACGGTGATGGAGAACACATGGTGCTCAGGGCGCGTCAAGAGTCAAGAGCATGACGTCGACGGCGGCGGCCACAGGAACGACGCAGGCGATGATGGTGTTGACGATGGTGGTGGCAGACAACCACGACGATGATGATGGTGATGATGATGAGGATGAGGATGATGCTGATGATGGTGATGATGATAATAATAATAATGATGATGAGGAGTATGAGGAGGAGGAGGAGGAGGAGGAGGAGGAGGAGGATGAACGGTGTGGATGATGGTGATGGTGGGAGCAGCTCATGTTGATTATGGTGATAATTCGCAATCCGCGGGCCCGTGGTCACGAGCACAAGCGTCGATCATGCCGCGTGCGCAAGAATTGTGGCACTTATGAACCTTTTCTGCCGTCGGCTTCAAGAAACGCCTTGATAAGCTGGACCCCCTGCCTCCCCAACAGGCGCCTTCAAAAACCTGACCCGGTGAACGATTATGTTGAGATATGTTTGTTCTGGCGTTCGGCGATTATTGAGGGTTTCAGAAGTGGTAGCACAGCCTAAAAGCGTTCCAAAGAAGTCCCAAGACGAACCAAGGTGGTCGCCAAGCGAGCCGCAAGAAGGCGCCAGAGAATTCTCGGTGGGCGCCAAGCCACCCAAGACGGCGTAAGTGAGCTCCAGGACAGTCCCAGAGGATGACCAGAGGGCGTCAAGATGGAACCAAGGGCCGTGTATGGAACAAAAACACCATCGGTTGTCTGGGGTGGGGAGGAAGACCAGGTCGGGGGTTGCGAAGAGAGCCCCTGGCCCATGGTGCCCCCAGCTTGTCGTTCCACTTTGGAGCCAGTGGGGGCCTCTTTGGTAATCCTTGGGGCACCTTGGGCCAGGGGCACTTCCAGCAACACCCGACCAGGGGGCAGGGGATCTCACGGCTGGGGCCCAGGGATCCCTCCGAGCTCGTGCCCCCCCTCTTTTTGAAGCCCCTTGTGCACGCGCCCCTCGTCCGCAAACACGCTTCGGACCATGATGCGCTGAGCCCCTCTCTTCCCGGGGCCCTTTCGTCGGCGCGGCGAGTGCCGGGTGGGGTGGGTGGCGGGGGAGGGCTTCGCTTGCCCAGGCTTGGCGCTGGCGCCGAGCGGCTGCACCGAAGTGAGTGATGGAGGCTCGGCACCTGCAGCGGGCGTCTGTCCTGGGTTTGGCGGCCTCGGGGCCGCGGCAGCAACATGCGTAATGCTGCCCGATCCGCGTGGGCTAGTGAATGTGTGCAAGTGTGCAGCGAGGTTCGCTCATTGCTCCGCTGCCCGCATCGCCCGACTCGGTCCGGCCAAATGCGCGACGAGATTGCGCGATGGATGTGGCACGGCAGGTGCTCATCTGGAAAACGCATCTTCGCGATCGCATCCAAGCCTTCTCTATTCAGTCGGCGATGCATGCGGCGCAATGCCCAGGGCAGGCTACGTTCACCAGGTCGCCTCGCACCCTTGGTCGCTCCCCTCTCATCCATTAATCCTGGCGTCGCCTCTCCTGTTCCGAGTCATGGGCGCCAGGTCGTTTCTCGATTTGATCTTTTGACACTTTTACGCAGGGCTGTTTTGTGGTATAGTGCATTTATCAGGTTGAGCGAAAGTATGTTGCAACATCTCCGAGGTGGCGAGAAATGTCGATGACGCTGGTCAGGAGGAGGAGGATGAGGAGGAGGAACATTTAAATGCGGAACATTAGGGGTATCAGATCCGTGGCCACGATCGTCGAGATCTCATCCATGTACTTCGTTTGAGGCACCGCTTTTCGAAGTTTGCGCAATCTTCCCCTCTATTAGGACTGCGATGTCAGACCGAAGGCTCTCGCCACCGCCTCGATCCGGGTATCGACGTTTCAGCGCTCGTGCAGGGGGAGATGATTTCCGCAGGATTCTGAGGATATTTGGTGGAATCAGACATGGTACGGAGGTACTATTGCACGAGATGGAATTCCCTCCGGCTCAGCCGGTAGGGGCCCTTTGTCCGATGATGATGATGACAGGCCTGAGGACAATAGCGAGGCAGGCCAGACCCCGAGTCCGGCGGCCGCCGCATCGCGGCGAAGCGTGCCTCGAATGCCATTGCAGCATAGCTCGGCTACAGATCTCAGTCATCGTGAAAAATAGAGGTTTCGTTTGCAATACTTCTACAACCCTTTTACTGACCTTATCTTAATCGTCGATGAACCCTGCCAACTTCCCGACGACTGGCACCACGCCCACATTGATGCCGCTGTCGCCAGATCTGTCTCAAAAGACGGGGCCAAGGCGAATGAAGATGCCCAAGTTGCCTTGAGAAAAGAACGGGGTAGGTTGCGCGATATAGGCACATGGATAGAGGATGGTGTCAGAGAATACTCCGGTGTGGTTGCCGAACTCAAGGGAAAGACGGCTCACTTTGGTCGGCTATTTGCGGTCCTTGTTGAAAAGAACTCGGAGTTCCGTTGGGACACGAAGATCGCAAGTATAAAGGCCGGGTAGTTTTTGATGGTTCGAGCGTCAGAGATCAGAATAAGGATGCGGCATTATTTCAGGAACTATCCAGCAGCCCTGCTACACTGCAGGCTAGCAGAGCAGCTGACACCTACGGGCTATTCGACGGCCATAGCATCGAGCAAGCGGACGCCCGCCAAGCCTATACTCAGTCGAAGCTGGGAGGCACCCCCACAGGGGTTTTCTTGCCTCGAGACGAATGTCCTAAATAATGGTCTCACATGCATAATCCTGTATGCCCGCTGTATCTATCATTGCACGGGGACCCTGATTCAGGTGGATATTGGGAGCAGCATTGTGAGGGACATGTCACGGCAAAAGGTTTTGTGAAGTGCAGTCCGTGGCGCAGCTGTTATCTCCACAAAGAATTGCAAATATTTCGGATCATCTGTGTTGACGGTTTCAAGCTGTCGGGACCTGCCGACAAGCTTGTTGAGGGCTGGAAATTATTGCAAGAACCTTCTGATAACTGTCCCAAGGGAATAGAAACATACCCTCCAACAGCTGTTGGAAGATATTTGGGATGCGAACATAGATTGTCAGCGCGAACGGTTGAATGGCAGGGAGAGTTACCTACAATCTTAGACCCGCCCCCTCCCAAGGTTAAGAAAAACGCCTCCGTCACAGACGAGAGTAGCGAGGAGGAAACGGGGGGTAACTCGGCGGCTCAGCCGTCCGAGCCATATCAGCCGAGAGAACCGAAACAAGTCAAAGTCATAGAATATGACATGACAGAGTTCTTCGTGTCCTGTGTAACATTATGTGCTCAATTTACGGATACCGATCCGGCTACTTATCCGGCAGCGGGGACCCCGTTTGGCCCTGAACTTACTGATCTCGAAGATGGCCAGGGCGGCCCACGAGGCGAGGTTTACTCCCCAGCTGAGGAGGCCATAGCGTCAGCATTGCGAATCAACGTTGATTCAGGCCCTCCTGATCAGAAGATAGAAGTTTTTGACCTTGACGCCGCAGTAGCAAGCCCTGATGACCCCGAGCCACCGACTCAGTCGGGCGTGCTTCAACCCATTGCAGCAAAAGTATTGATGAATATACTATATGGTGCGAGAATGGCCAGATATGACCTGCTCCGTGCTGCATGTCAAACTGCCAGTTGTATCACACAATGGACAGAACAACAAGACATGGATCTCTTCCGCCTCATATGTTATATCAAATGTACCTCCCATCACCGTATGACTTCGCGGGTAGGTGACAAAAAGGAAGATGTCCTGTTAAAGCAATACTCTGATGCAGACCTGGCAAGTGATATTCGCACGCATCGGAGCACGAGTGCCAGTTATCAAACCATGTGGGGCCCATGTACTAGAGCTGGGCAGTCTATGGGATCGCAACGAAAAGCGTGTGTTTCCCACAGTGCACTCGAGGCAGATTGTCGCTGCTGACCTTGCGCTGCGCAAAGAGCTGCTTGCGGCGCTACTGCTTTGGGAAGTACTGCTTGACAGTCCAGTGCGATGTCTATTTTTGGAAGATAATCAAGCAGTTTGTAAAGTCACCAAGGCAGGTGGGTCAATGATATTAATGCATCTACCGAGAACACATAGAATTGATGCTGCAGTTGTGTCCGAAAGGTTTTCTCGCGGCCTTGTTGAGCTCCAGCATAAAAGAACTCAAAACGAGGCTGCGATATAGGAACCAAAAGATTCACTGACCCTTTGGCTTGGGTTAAAGTTTTGTATCTTGTCAACATTGTCACGCCCAAATTCTGGACCGCTAAGCGGTGCCAAGACTATCTCAACTCGACGTTTTCAGACGGAATTCCCCTGAATCCCGGCGGGGTTCTGAAGCCCCGCTTGGGCCCCAGTTCGGCCTTGCGCGGAGAGGATCTGTTATACCTAGCAAAAAGATAAACAAAAAGAAAAAGCGCCCCAAAAAGGGTAAACCCTTTGTGACCGCCCCCGGCAAAGCCGTGGAGGCATGCGCTCCCAGCGCAGCTGCGATTGCGGATGCATCCGGCTCAGCCGAAGATGCAGGTAATATTTGTCTTTTAATGACCGAAGAAGGTCACAGCAGAAGCTCCGAGAAAACTTGAGCGATGGAGAATATAACCAAGAAAATTTCGGATCGCGAAATGAGAACAATGTTTGAAATGATGGATCGTGAAAGAGAGTCAGATACTTCGATGTTGCCGAAAAATGTGGAAGCTATTCCCAATAACAACCGTTTTCTTCCTCATCCTCCACCCGCTGCGGCTCCCAGTAATCCAGACAAAAAGGACACGTGGATACAGCGAGGGCAGTTTTTGAAACGATGGCATTCTGTTTCGAGACTTGTTATTTTCATGCCTCGACCCGGAAAAGTTAGATGATAGGCGCCGCGCCTATGCCGCTAATGCCCAACAAGGTTTGACGGTTGACCGCATTAACAATTGGCGTGACAAAGAGAGTAAATATCATCACCGATTTGAATATGATTCGAATGGCGATTCCAGCGATGGTGACTATTGCCCGAGTAGATGGACTGGATACACAGAGTTCTGGATCCGAGAAGAGTGCGCCCCGGCCACTCTGTGGACCGGGGAAAGGCTTTTGTTAGAACATATTGTTGTGGCCCTCAGAGCAGGATAGGAGACCCAAAGAATTTTGTCGATAACTCATGCAAGGTGATTCGATACACTGAGAAGGAAGATATGAGGACAAATGAGGGACTTTGAACAGCATTGAGCGATATTAATACGTTCAAGGGAAAACATATTACGTTGTGGGGTTCTATGCCTTGCACGGGAGGTCCTCCCTGGCAATATGTGAACGAAGCGCATTATTTTTGTATAGGAAATCTTAGAGCGATGCGTAGGCTTCATGGTATTAGGACTGGTTTCAGATACCTGTTTTGGAATTTCGGGGAGATTGCCCCCGCCGTGCGCCAAGCGGGGGGCGTTGTTTGTATTGAATGGCCGACCCAGTGCAATTATTGGAGAGACCCTCAGGTAAAAGGTTTCATGAGAGAACTAGAGTTTGTTAAGACGGCGTTGCATGGATGTGCGTATGGATTAAAAGGATAGCAAGGGTAATTTCACGAAAAAAGCCCTGGACGATAGCTACTACCTCCTCCGTTGTTGCGGAGGGACTTGAGCGCAGACGCGATGGCACGCGCGAGCGTGTTGAGGCTAGAGGACGAGAGTGCAAGAGCGCAGAAGATTACACGGATGCTCTTGCTGAGCAGGTCCATTTTGTCATTGCCCGTGCCGCGGAGAGATCTTTGTCATCTCGTCGTCGTGTTATCTCTTCCTCTAATCATGTTTGTGCCGCTGCCGTTTCGTCTCTAGAGCTTGCGCGGGCTGCCCCGCGGCCGGCCCCCCCTGGGATCGAGCGGTTGCCTTGCGGCGACTACTCGAGCCTTGCCTGCCGCGACCCCCGCGCGTCTGAGAGAGCATCGACCGAACCCATGTGTCGACCGTTGAGTGACTCAGCGGATAAGCCGCCAGGGGAGGACGTTGTCTCGATGCGCTCAGACGACGTCGTAGATGATTTCGTCTCCGACTCAGTCAGAGAGGAGAAGCAAGGGAGAGAGATCAAGGATGATGCTCCCCCCAACACGAGTCGACAGGCCACCCCGCCGGCTCAGCCGAGAGGGGGGGCTTGCCCACCGGCTCAGCCGGGCGGGGCAAGGGATGGCGACTTCAGCCCGAAAGATGTCGTATCCGAGGCGGATACCGAGATGGAAGCTGGCGTTGAGGTTCGTGGCGAAGGGATTACTGCTCGCAAGAGGGCAGCAGAGGCAGCCTTCCGGGATGGTCAGCCCGCAAAGAAAGCAGCCAACTCCAATACAGGGGAAATCGACTCCTGGAACGATGAACCGATTTTTCGATGCTACCCTGACAAATTGAGAGAGTGGTCCCGGCCGGTGCCTACCGG